ATGTGTTTTATTTAGCGTTTCAATAAGAGCGACAGTCTTTGGCGTCCATCAACACGTTTCCAGAACGCACCCCGCACTCGATTTCCACTCAGAATCCGAGAGGCATTTTGAATGCATAAATGGCCTATGCAATGAGTAGCGGCGGGGCATGTCTGTGTATCAGTTATCGGCGTGGGCGAGTATCGANCCGAGGTTCGATTTTTTGCGAAGACAGCATTTTTAGATAGAAAACAAATAGTTACCATTCCTCCTCATCACGTACTTCTGGTGCATAGCGTGTTCGCTGGGTGAAAATGATATTAGCCAGAAGCGTGGACAAAGTTCTATCAACCACACGTTCAGATGCCAAGTTGAACACGAAAAGTGTATCTTCGATTGCAGTAATAACGAAAACCTGAGTGAAAATGGATGTGGTTGATGATTTATTTGTAATATGGAGGCTAAAAAGGTATGCTTGCACCTGAAGCAACGAAAAAAAAAACAACAGGCTTCAATACAAAACCAACCTGTTTATCTACATTGAGTTTAAATACCTTCCTATCATAAAATTTCCATCTTTCCAACGAAAACGCGCTGAAACAAAACCCATAACTCAGAAATGAATCTATATTCAGAGTTTAAAAAGAATGTTGATAAAAGCTTACTATTGTACATCATCAAAAACAATATGGAAGTGGGATCCAAACACATCACGATGGCTTCTCACACATTCCCAGAAGTAATGACGAATCAATCCTCTGAATGGGAATTTTGTCAGTTTAGGAACTTTTAGCAGATGAATCTACCCGTTAAAGAGCTCGAGGATGCCAACCGCTCACAGTGAACATATTCCACATTCTATGACCTTAGAGGTGGTGTATATAGTGAAAAGTTGCGCACCCCACACACATTCCCGGGGGTCGATACCTACCCAGAACAACCAAACCTTCCATCCCTTGAAGTACGATCAACTGTTACTGGACTCAATTCATTATGGAAAATAAAAGCAATGACATGCACAAAAGCTGATAACAGCAGGTCATTGTATAGCCCACACACGCATTAAGAGCGACTAAGATTCTGAGCAGAACTCAAATACAGAGAAACTCATCCCAAAAACGGGATTGATTATCGCCAAAGATTTGATCCCATTCCTTTCCAAGTGGTAGATGGCCGAGACCATTTTAAAGCTATCAAAAGGATCACGATAACTCATTTTTGGAATATTGGAGCAAAAGAACACCAGCACTCCACCTACGGGTTCTCGTTCTATCAGCGGACGTTCTGCCTAAAAATCAAAATCGTCACCACAAAGCGGCATTCTGATTCACACTAGACATTTTATACCTAGAACCAGTCGGGCCGCCCGGCTAACGCCAGGCTTCCCTCCTTCTTGTGGGTTCGCCCGGCTACGCCGGGCGTTCCTTCTTCCTCTGAGAAATTTGCTATGCGTGAATAACACTTCGGATTCTCCTTTTGCTTTGAAAGCTCTACACCCTCAGTATTAGCTACGAATTAGGAGCGATTTTTTCTGTAAGCCAACCTCGCTGTGTCCGAAAGAACATCGTTTAACATCAAAAAGGCGATTATTAAGAGAAAAAAGTGTTCAGAGACTTCATCGCGGCTGAGGCTACTATGTTAGCTACCATCAATGTTCCTCAATGCCATCATCGAAGGCTCTCCTCCTTTTTGGGGCAAAGGGACTTTGATCGAAAAATATCTAGTTAAGGAAATTCCCCCTTTTTAATATGTTATTTCGCTGAGCGAGAGTATAGACTATCAAATGCCTTTGAAGTTGTACCTCCTTTTCTCTGCGGATACATCATTAAATGTGAACCCAACATTATTACCGGTCGGATAAATTTTGCTAGGAATGATTTCAAAGCAAAGAAAAACCGTGATCTGTTACTTAATCGCAAATTCTGCTGTTTAGCGGTCGTAATCTAATAGCAAGAAATGAACCAAATTCTTCTCCTTATAATCACACAACTTAACCTTCTTGTCGAATGAAACATATCAAAAAGTCAAAGCTAGATCGTAAATAACAAAGGCGCTGAGAGGCAACTGGTGTGTGGATCTTCTTCTGTGAGGCCTCTTCTATTGTCAGT